CCAAATAAGGACTTCAAACCAAAAAAAAGTAATTTTCTGTTTTGTTTTATTCTTGGATCGGGCTTTAAAGGGTTAATAACTTTTCCTAATCTGTCCAAGTCAAATCTGGGAAATTGTTATAATTTTTTTATAGCAAAGAGACAGAAGTGAACAAAAACTGCACAGATCTGCTAACCCTGCCTAGTCAGAGCCTCCTTATACGCAGTCGGTTTGACAGGGAAAAAAATAGGATCAGAGATTAAAAAGTCGTACGCAACTGCCGTCTTCAGGCCTTTAGTGTTGATGATGTCATTAGCGCGACAGAAATAAAGAAAATAAACAATGGAAAGAAAGAACATTAGGAAGCTAGGGAGTAGTCAGTGTGCTTTATTATTTCGCTCTTTCATTTATGAAATGTAAACAGAGTTTTTTTGGCTTGTTAGATAAGAAGCGACTGTTGAGAGCAAATACTTTCAGTTTTCAATAACTCTTAACTCAAAATCAGCTGCAATGTCTGAGACAAATTCATTTCTCAGCAGTCATATGCAGTCATTTTTTCCCCCTGTAATAAATTATCTTACTGAATCAGAATATGTTGCTTCATTGCTCAGTTTTAATAAATCCTCCTGCCCTTTACCTTTCAGGTGTAACAACAAACACTGACTGGTCGTTGTTGCGCTCGGCTCCTTCCCCTTGGGCGGAGCTGGAGTTTGATAACATCATCCTCACCGTACCTTCAGACGCGGTTAGAGAGCTGGAGAATCCTGATGAGTTGGCAGCTTTCTGGAATGACATCATGAAGGCCATCGCTGACCTGGCTGCCAAACCCCACAAATTCCCTCGTAAAGAGCGCTTTGTTGCCGACATTCAGATTTCTCATGGTTGGTAATTTTCTGGTTTCACAGATAATTTTTATCCTGATGAATCTCCTAAACAGTGCCGTGGAACTGCNCGTTTTGTTGCCGACATTCAGATTTCTCATGGTTGGTAATTTTCTGGTTTCACAGATAATTTTTATCCTGATGAATCTCCTAAACAGTGCCGTGGAACTGCTTTTTTTTTCTGTTCAGGTTGGATGCATGCAGGTTATCCTGTAATGGCTCATAAAGGTTCCGCAGAGGCCTTGATTAATGTTAAAAATGCTAAAACCAAAGGCATGTGGGGAGCCATCCACGAACTGGGACACAACCAACAGCGAGGCTGCTGGGAGTTCCCATCTCACACCACAGAGGCCACATGTAACCTGTGGTCTGTTTATGTGCATGAAAACGTTTTTGGGATCAACAGGGACAAGGTATAAAAAAAATGAGTACCTAAAACAGTGATATTTACTTGTATTAACCAAACTCTAAATAAAACTCTTTTGCTAACGATGTTTATTTATTTGCACTGTTTATTTTTTTGTACTTTGGTTGTATTACAGGCTCATCCAGCGATGTCATTGGAAAAACGAAATGAACGAACTAGGGACTATATCAAAGAAGGCAGGCAACTCAGCAAGTGGAGCGTGTGGACGGCCCTGGAGACGTACATACAGGTAAGAGAATTAGAGCTGTGTCCGAACGTCCACCTTAACCATTAAATCCCTCAATCACTATATAGAGTGGGGACTATATGTTGGACTTTACAGTTAACTAGTTAAGAGACCAGCCAAACCAGAGCATGTGAGCAGAGTGGAGAGCGAGGGGTTTTCAGTTCAAACCCGGAGCAAGAATTTCGCTTCATTGCAGTTCTCCTCAACCTTTTTTAAGGCAAGGCAAATTTATTTGTATAGCACACTTCAGTACAAAGACAAAGCAAAGTGC